CTAAGTCTTTTCTTATTTCCAAGGATGTGGTTTTTCATGAAGCTCACTTCCCTTTCCACTCTATAGCTTCTCCATCAGATTCAATAGACCCATTTCCTGATGTTGTATTACCAAACATCAATTATAATATGTTTATTCCCCGTCCGACTTCATACTCGTCTACTTCAACCAACAATAATGCTTTGACTGAACATTACCTAGTCTCATCTCCATCTACTTCTGCTCATAATAACATTTCACCTGAAATTCCTTCTAGCCTTTTTTCTGATTCTACTCGACACAATCAACAACCTGTTGATGATTCATCTTCATTCCCGATGCCTAGAATGTCTACTGGGGGAGATTAAACCCCCATCCTATCTTCATGAATTTCATTGTAATCTATTAGAAAATCAACAACCTCCTGACAACAATTCACTATATCCATTAAACAAATATCTTTCTTATAATTCCTTTTCTGAGTCACACAAAACATTTCTCCTTAATATCTCTTCCATTGTTGAACCACAATTTTATCATCAAGCTATTGCATCTAATCACTGGAAGGAAGCAATGGCTATTGAATTGGCAACTATTGGAATCAAATAATACTTGGACTGTAACAAATTTGCCAAAGGGTAAGCACTCAATTGGTTGTAGATGGGTCTATAAGGTAAAGTATGGACCTGATAGAAATGTGGGCAGGTACAAGGCACGCCTAGTTGCTAAAGGTTACACTCAACAAGAGGGCCTAGACTTTATTGATACCTTTTCTCATGTTGCTAAGTTGGTTACTGTAAAGATAATGCTTGCTATAGTAGACATTAATAGATGGCACTTGGTTCAGTTAGATGTGAACAATGCCTTTTTTTAATGGGGACCTTTTTGAAGAGATTTATATGGACTTGTCTTTGGGGCAATATACCTGCTGATATTATTAAGGAGGGAAAACCAGTTTGTAAACTCCATAAATCGATCTATGGTCTTCGCCAGGCATCTAGACAGTGGTTTTCCAAGTTCTCTCAAGCTCTTATTGATCATGGCTTTCATCAATCTAAATCTGACTATTCTCTGTTTACAAAAGAATCAGGTTCTTCATTTATTGCTCTACTAGTGTATGTTGACAATATTATAATTACCAATTCTGATCAAAGTGTTATTACCTCTTTGAAATCATTTTTGTATAGTCAGTTCAAACTAAAAGACTTGGGTCAATTGAAATACTTTCTTGGTTTGAAGATAGCAAGGTCACATAAAGGGATAGGTTTGTCCCAAAGAAATTATACGCTGCAACTCTTGCAAGATAGTGGTTTTTTAGCTTGAAAAAACCTGCTGGTTTGCCTATGGATCCAAAGGTTCGACTTAATTCATTTGATGGTGATTTGTTAACTAATGTTGGTGCTTCGTCTTATCGAAGACTTATTGGCCATTTGCTCTACTTAACCATTTCTCGTCCAGACATCGCATTTGCAGTTCATAAACTTAGCCAGTTTGTTTCTAAACCTTGCCAACTGCATCTTGATGCAGCTCATCATCTTCTCTGATTTCTTAAGTCAGTTCCTAGTCAAGGTTTGTTCTTTTCAACCTCCTCTTCTATGCAATTAATGGCCTTTGTTGATGCGGATTAGGGCTCTTATCCTAACTCTAGAAAATCCATCACTAGCTTATGTGTATTTCTTGATGACTCACTAGTCCCTTGGAAGACTAAAAAGCAACAGACCGTTTCCAGGTCCTCTGCAGAAGCAGAATATCTTGCATTAGCAGGTGTTACTAGTGAACTAATTTGGATACGTCAGCTGCTCCTAGATTTGGATGCTTCTCCAATGTCTCCAGCCTTGGTGTTTTTTTTTTTTTGTGACAATCAGGCTGCACTTCATATTGCTAGCAATCCCTTTTTTCATGAACGAACAAAATATATTGAAATAGATTTTCATTTTGTTCGTAATAAGGTGGTTGATGGTTTCATCAAATTGTTGCCCATTCGGTCTCAACACCAGATAGATAGCAGATATATTCACCTATGCTTTACCAGCTTCTTTGTTCTTTTCTTTACTTTCCAAGATGGCCATTATAAATCTCCATGGTCCATCTTGAAGGTGGTGGTAGAATATATAAGCAAGCGATCAACTTCTTCCTTAATGAGAATGTAATCTTCATTTCTCAATACTTTTTCTTTCAATAACATGTCCCATATATCAAACAATAAATATATTTCAAGCTACACAACAATCCATTCAAAAACATGGAGGGCTTATGTGGTAATGCATAATTTGAAACGTATACGATGTAAAACAACATAGAACTATACTTGTCGCATTTGTGGGACGAAACCCCTATGTCTAGTATAACATTGCAATTAGTTATTACGCAATTACAAGAAATACGACAGTGTCAGGTGGTAATGCATAAACAGTAACATATATTATGAAAAACAACATAACTATTTTAAAAGGATCAGCACGTTGAATCTATTGCTTTAAGTGTAAAATGCAGTCCTCTTCTTATAATACGTCTTAGGCTATAAAATCACAGTGTTGGAATACAATTCAGCATTTTGCTTAGGTAAAAATAACATAAACAAGCGAAACTGATTTTATGGAGTTCAGTCTATTATATATTAACGATCATCACATGATGATAATGTGATATGAATCATCGCCAGAAACATATGTGTCATGTATATGGGATGAAACCTGGGCATCGTGTTAAGCATGTTAGTTAATTAAAAGGCACGTACACAAAACACATAGCTTTACGTTGTAATGCATAGTCGGTGGCATATATATTCGATCAAACAAAGTACTATATTTAAGAAACAAGTACGATGGTATGTTGATTGGGGTTCATCACTCAACAACAAATTTTTGACATTTCACTTAACAAACTAAAGGTGCAGAACACTTTTGTATTCAAAAGATATTGCCTAATTTTCGACTTAAGATGTCCGAAGTAAAATTGTGAAGGCATAAAAGTGATAAAATTTCATCCCAATGGGTACGTTTGTTAATCTGACCAATCTTGCTTATTATCGAGGACAGGGGTGGATTTAAAACTTTAAAGTTAGGGGGACACAATCGAACTTACAAAGAAGTTGAGAGAAATTTTACAATCGAAAATTTACGTTCAAAAAAATAATACCTCGTTTAATTTTATATCCGAAATTTTACATTAGATATAACTTTTTCGGATGTAAAATTTCGAAATTTTTTGATATTATATTCCATATAAAATNAAAATTTCAAAATTTTTTAATGTCATATTCCATATAAAATTTCCTAATAAAATGATGAAAATTATATTGAGAAATTTGTATCGCAAAAATAATAAATGTTAATGAAATAATTGAATTTTTTTTAAAAAAATGCGAGTTAGACGTCTTTCTTTAAAATTCACATTTAACGTATTTTTAATTATTTTCGATATCTGTTTGGACTATTCGATATGCCCATAATGTAGTTCTTGAAATGAACTTTGAGTTGACATAAGCAATTTGTAGATTAGATTAGCGTACGATTGTCGAAAAATTTTTAAAATTATTTTCGATATCTGTTTGGACTATTCGATATGCCCATAATGTAGTTCTTGAAATGAACTTTGAGATGACATAAACAATTTGTAGATTAGATTATCATACGATTATCGGAGAATTTTTAAAATTAACATGTTTTCTGTTTGGATTATTCGATATGCTCATAATGTAGTTCTTGAAATGAACTTTGAGATGACATAAGCAATTTGTAGATTAGATTAGCGTACGATTGTCGGAGAATTTTTAAAATTAACATGTTATCGAAATTCAAATTTATTCTGATTTTGCCTCTGTTTGGTGGAAATTAAAATCGATTTTTTAGTAAATTTTCTTTTGATAAAAGTTAAATAGTCATGAAATATGTTATTAAAATTAATTGTTAACTTTGATTTAGATTTCAATTGATACCAAACATGACTTTAAGAAAAAAATTCTCAAAAGTTGGGGGAGCAAGACCCCCCCCTGGGTCCGCCAGTGATCGAGGATAATTTCTTAGAAATGATTTTAACATAACATCATATGAAAATAAAATCAACGTAGTCTAAAAGTTGTGCAATTCCATTACTTCCCATCTGCCCAATTTGTCCCACGTATATAAATACTAAATTTAGCTCATCCAAATTGTTGGGTTTTTTCGTACCCAATAAATTCGGGGGGTATGGTGAAAAATAGTTGTCGAAAATTTATCGACACCATAAACTTGGTTCGACTCGAATGCTACTGACACTTTTGGAAGGTCCAAGTTGGAGATGGATTGGTGGTTATGATTGGTTTGTGGTTTTAGATTATTGTTAGGTCCATTTACCTTGTTATTTAGTTGGCACAATCAATTGGTTCTTTGGCCCAATAATATGTGATCTAATCCATTTCTATATATATATACATCCCTCCTAAACCGTGTGGTGTGGTGCAATTGTGTGTGAAGAAAGAGGATAGTTGTTCTTGGTGTTTTGAGTGAAACCATTGCCTCCTTCTCATCTTCCTTCCTTTGTAGTTAATTGCATCCACCATGATTGATCCTTTGTGGGTTAATAGAAGTGAGACTTGTGGCAACCCGGTGGAGGAAAGTATTAGGTCGAGCTTGAGTCGTGTGGTGTCTATTGCAGTGGTTTCTGAACTCGGATATTGAAGTTTGGAGCACCAAATTCCAACACAAATAAATAATTAATAAAATGAAAAATCGAAAACACCACGAGAATTCTCAATTTTCTCTCAAGAGAAGAGAGCATTAAAGACAGAAAAAAGGCAAGAGGAGAAGAACGTGAGAATTCTCAACTTTCTTTATAGAAAACAAAAAAAGATGTATACTTAATTCTCAATTGCTTTGCCCTTAAAAGTGCCCTTCTGCTCTCAAATAATTCAACCCCTCTAAAGCACTCCACGTACGGACTCATGACCGGATTCAAAGACTAGTAGATCATTATGAATTGGGGCCCATACTTATGCGATGGGCTAAGGCCCAAAAATCTAAGACCTAACGGTAATGGGCCCATTATTTTTTGGGTGAGACTTGAAGATGGCCTTTTTCTTGCAGGCTTTTGACAGTGTCATATAAAGCCTGCTTAGCTGGTTTGAAGTCCAGGCCCAAATCCTTAAGCCTTTGGTTTGAGAATTTGTATGGCTTTTTTCTTGGGTTTATTTCATCTGAACACCTGCATTCACAGAGAAAGCTGTAAGTTGTCCATTTTTCTGCTAATTATTTTGTTTGATTTTTTAAAAATAATGGTTAAATATCAATTGCAATGACTTGATAGATGCGACTCATCATTATAGATGCTAGAGCAAAGTAGTAAGCAGGTGAAGATGTACTTGACCAAATATAAAATAAGTAACTTTTACTCGTTTTATGTGCACACAAGAATGTACTTAGCCAAACATGCTCTATCTCGTGATGCCAATAGCGATCGCAAAACTTACTTGGTAGGGATCGGGTACTCAGGAAAAAACTTCTTTAGAATCTCAACCACCTCACCACGGTGAAGAACGCTCTCGGCACAAAGATATCGGCCAGAAGCCGAATGCGTCTCAAAGAGCAAAATATGAGCCAATGCCACATCCTTAACGTGCACATAGGCTTGTATAGAGTTGGCATAAGTTTTTGCAGAGCCAGTTAGATACTTCATTATGTGAAGAACGCTGGCGTTCAAAGAGGGTTGAAGCAGTGGTCCAAGCACCAAAACTGGGTTGATCACTACCAAATCCACACACAATTCCTTGGCCAAATCACATGCTGCTTGTTCAGACACAACTTTCCCATAGCAATACCAATTCTACAATGTCAAGTCAAAACATAGTTAGTCGTCAACGGTCCATACATAGCCCCAGACAATACTGTACAACAAAACGAATAAGATTCAATTTATTTTTTTGTAATTTTGACGATTACAATCTAATCTGACATACCAACATTATTTAATTGACGACTGTCGGCACATAGTGCTAGTCAATATTGTATCATTTAATACATAAAATTTCAACTTTCGTTTTGTTTTTTTGTTTTTAATTATTTCACTGCAAACCATTCTAATGTACTAAACATTAGTTACAACAAATTATAACATAATACATGCATGACAGTTTTTTACATTCAAATTTTAAATTTTCGATCAAGTAATTAATGAAGAAAGAGTGGATATAAGTCAAAATTAATTATTAAAAAATGCATTAAATCCTATGAAGTTTCAAACAATAACATGAAATCTATGACCATACCAGATGCCCCCAACCATAAATATGCTAGATATTTTTCACGTTTGTACCAAACTTGACGAGGACCGAATACCATCTTTTTTAATTATTAAACGTGAAGCACAAGTTTTATACAAGTACCAAATTAACCTTTTAAGTTATAATTAATTGAACCCAAAATCTCAATATGCTCTGAATATTAAAATTTTGGAAGAGCGTTCAATTTTTCAGGCAATAAATAAACCCATGGCATAGTATTATATTTATGCAAACCTTAGTATTCTTGCAAAATTCAAGATCACTCCAACAACTCTCATCCACAACTTTTTCAGGGTCTCTATTAGGATCCATGTAAATTGCACCAATTGATGAAGTCAAAACAACTCGCCGGACCTTGGCATTCGCCGCCGCAGTTATCACATTTTTAGCCCCATTCACAGCCGGCACCACCATTTGTTCCTAAAGAGAAATTTCGTAGGAATATATTTAAATTTTGCTAAGGAGGGTCCCGAAATAATGGGAGGTTGCTAGAAACGTGAAATTTAAGTAGGCGATCAAGTAACAGGAAGACAATAAAATAAATGGATCGTTATACGCAAGATGAAAGACCAGTCAATATGAATTAGTACAAGTATAACTAATTATATGCACCCACCACTACATAATTTAGACAATTTTATCCTTTTATTTTTTAAATATTTGCAAAAAAGATAAATTTTTCGCATTGCATCTTGAAAAATAAATGATTTTCACCTAACCAAATGATTAAAATATCTTATTGTCAAAATAAATAAATATTGATTATTCAAATAACTACTTTTTTCGAGTAAGAAATAATGTAATAAGATTAGTATAACATTTTTTTAAATTTAAAGTTAAAAGATGGAAAATTTCGTCTCAATAAATCTCTCTGTTCCTTAATTTTCTAATCAATGAAATGAAATGCTGGTGAATTATTACTAAGGATGCGTTTGATTGTAAGGGTGGAAATAAAATGTTTTACAGGGAAAAGATTTGCCTAGAAAATATTTTGCAGGGAAAATGATTTCAAGTGTGTTTGATTGGTATAATTTTCCACCCAAAAAATTTTTAAATTTTCTATTCATTTGGCTTTGTTTTACATGAAANAAACAAAAACAAAAAAAAATTAAACGTGAACAGGAAAATGATTTCCCACCAAATTTGGTGGGAAATTCCCCAAAATCAAGATGCATTGGCGCGTGAGCCAACTCCAAAAAAAACAAAAGCCCTAGAAAATTTGGCTTTTCAAACAAGCCAAAACCAAGGAAAATGAAAACATTTTCCAAGTTACAAGGCAAATATGGTCTATCCAACAAGGCCTAAATAATTTAAAACTTACAGGATCATCTGTGACAGGTGATGCAGTGTGGAAATCTCCATCACAGCCGTTGATGGCGTCTACCAAACTCTGATAATCATTAAGATCAGCTTTGCATAGAATCAATCTTTCATTTGCTCCTTCAAGCTCTCTCAAATGGAAATTCTTGGGATCATCTGCCACCACCCCACATGTACAAACAATTCATATACGAAAAACTATAGTATTGGACAATACCGAACACTAACGGATTAAAAGTTGAAGGTTTTTATTTTTTATTTTTCGTTAATACTGTCTTAAGTATTGTCCACCAAATGGAAGAAATTTCACCTGGATTTCGGACAGTGCCTCTAACGGTGTAGCCCTTCTCGAGGAGGAGTTTAATGAGCCATGAAGCGATGAAACCTCCGGCACCGGTGACACAGACGACTTTGCCGGAAGCTGATGGCATGGTGGCGTTTTGAAGCGGCGATTGGTGGTGGTGACGATGGTGTGCGTATTGTGGTGGAACAGAAAGGGAAAGGGAATTGGGAATGTAATTATAGGAGTGTAGTATTTATCAATCAAGAGAATATGATTTTCTCCACTTCACCAACCACCTTTATTTATTTTTTCTATAAATCTTTTTGAGTAATTTCCAAGAAAGTAAAGAGAATTCCCAATGTCCACACCATGTAATTCTATACTACAATGAAGTTGATTATGATGTATTTAACATGTTAAGACTAAATTGAACAATTAATAAAATCGGTCAGATTTCTTACATTTTTCTGTCTTATTTTTAACCACAAATTTTTCAATAAAATAATATTACACATTAACTCTAATTTTTTTCCTTATTTTTTAACCACACATCCCATCAAAATATTATTCCAAAATGCATTTTGGACAAAAAAATGAGGTTCAAACAAGCTCTTAGTCTTCTAGTACCTAACTTAGAATTTTATTGAAATAAATTATGGTTGTTTATTTATTTCTCGTGGAGTTGTTCGATAATTTTTTGGTTATGGATGGATTACCATGAAAAATATGGACTGAAAATGTTTGGTACATAATGAAGATATATCATATGATCTCAGAAGTATATGATACGTGCACACATATGGATGTGTACAGATGACATATTTGGTATAGGAGATTGCATATGATTATTGTTTGAGAGAGATTTTAATCCAATTAAAATTAAAAATATAGTCGTTATTGGGTCTCACTCGTCTAATAAAAGTCAACACTAACGACTAGTTTTTTAATTTTAATCCGATTTTAATCTCTACCAAACAAACTCGAATAAAGTTTGTTGACCTCGAAATTCGATAGGGCCACGTGATCAATAGATTTTATCTCTTCTCATGTTATCTGACCACTTAGAACGCTGTGTTAGACTTCCTGTGACTATAACCTTGGCAGAATGCTACGATAGCGAGCACTATGATGCTTAATTCCAACAATGGAGAAAGTATTCGAGTGTGAAGAGACACATGGACAAGAATAACGGGTGTCAGGGTGAAGAATATTATAAAGCGTATGAAAAGTATACTCGAAGTTTCATTACAAGAATGGCCTTTGGAAGATACCAAGTGTGACTTTTTGTATCAAAAGACTCTTGTTTGATCCTTATTATTTTCAAAAAATATATTTTTTTTCTCGTTTTTTCAATTACATATGTTTCAATAAAATAATATTACACGCGAACCCAAATTTTTCATTAATTTTTAACCACACATTTTCTATCAATCTATTATTTTAAAATACATTCTTAGCTGAAAATGAATCTCAAACAGGCGCAAGCACATTGGATGTTTGACACATGGACTTATCCAACAACCTACTGGTCAAGTTTAAAGGTGTCAATCCCAGTTATTACAAGCTTGTGGCCATCTACACAGGTTCAATTATAGTCACCCTATGTCATATGCCTGCAAATTGAAAAATATACGTAAAAGTTGACTGTGTTAGAGATGTCAAAACGGACGGACCGTCCAGACCTGTGAAAACCGGGTCGAATCGACCCGGGACCGCGGGCCGACCCTTGATCCGAGAGGGCTTTTTTTTAAAAAAAAAAGTTTGAAAAAAAAGAATGAGAGAGTCAACCTAGTTGGGATGTACTTAAATTATAAATTATAATAAAAGTAGGTGTCAACCTAGTTGGGATGTACTTATACTATAAATATTTGATAATAGTAATTAGAAATGCATTTAGTTGTTATTTGTTTAAGTTAAATTTAACTTTGCAAAGTTATAAATAATTCATGTAACATTAAATTTGA